TATATATATATATATATATATATATATATATATATATATATATAGTATATATATATATTATATATATATATATATATGTATGCATATATATAAATAAATAATATATATATGTATATATATATATATGTATAGATATGTATATATATATGTGTGTGTGTGTTCGATATTTGAATGGTTGAGAAGCCATGTGGATGTTATATAGTATTGCTGAGTTTTGCGAAGTATTGTGTGGTTTTTGTGTGATAGACAGCTATTATATCTGTCCCTAGTATATATCTATCCGTAGTATATATTTATATATACAGCGATATTTATCATTACACGTACGTACAAATGCTCGATTTATGATTTGCTGCTACATGTGAGTGCATATAACTGACTTTTCCTCGTACTTGTTCCGCAGGGCCAACCTCCGGACCCACGACGTAGCATTGCTTCAAACAACAACGACAGTTCCGGATACGACCGAAACGGTAACCATAGCAACAGTAACAACCACGACCGAAACAAACAGATGAACAACGTCAATAACAACAACAACCAGTACTACCAGAGCAGTCACGATCCAAGCGGGCCACCCCCACAGCACCTTCAGCAGCAACACTCGGGTGCAATGGGACCCAATACTCCGCATGTTGCACCTACAAATAACGATTTCGGGCCGAATAATCCGAGTATAGCCAATCAAAAGCCGGGCCAGGGCCAGATGTACCCTCGCACAGGTCCACAAAATTCAGGACTAGGGCAGGCACCAGGTCCAAATACCTTGAACCCCAATAATATGGGGAATATGAATATGAGCATGAATATGCCTCCCCTGGGCGGCCCACCCGGAGGACCTCCCAACAACCCGAACGTATACTCACAGCCACCTCCGAGCCAGAACACACCCATACAACATCAGTACCCTCCCTCCAACCAACCACCACACCGGCGGTCGCCTATCATCAACAGTGCTAATAATAGCAACATGGGCAATAATGGTAGTATGGGTTCGTTCCCGCCGCCCAATGGGGGTGCTCCGAATCTTAACCAAGCACCAATGGGAGGGCAGCAAATGCCTCCCCCACACCACCAGCAACCACCTGGCGCTGTGCAGAATCCAAATCAGCCCCAAAATCAAGGCAATTTTGGCCCGAATCCTGGGCCTATGGCCGGGCCTAATAGAGGTCCCCACCCCGCAGGACCAAACTTCCGTGCACCCCATCCACCCCCACACACGCAGCAGACACGGGGACCCAATCCCAATCCGAACCCAAATCCTAATCAGCCCCCGAGTTCGATTCCCAATCCCAATCCAAACAACAACCAACAATTACCACCAAGGCCGTCGGGATTTAGATCGCCACAGCCCAGGCCTCCACACCAGCAGGGCGTGCCGGCTTTAAATGGGCCTAATTTCCGACCCCCGCAAGGGATTACCAATGCCCCACCACGAATACCCGGTCCGAATATGAGGCCGCCGGGTGCGCCTTTCACACCACCCAACCTACTCGCGTTACCACCGTCACATCCCATGCACAGGCAACAACAACAACGACAACAACATCAAGAACAGCAGCAGCAACAGCAGCCACAGGGGGCGGCGGGGCCTTACAACTCCAATGGGGGTCCCAACAATAGGTCTAATTCTGGTCCAGGGGTGTTTAATAGTACAGGCCAGAATGGTGCGGTGCCGAATGCGAATGCGAATGCGAATGCGAATGCGAATGCGAGTGCGAATGCGAATGACGCGATACGAAAACCGTCATTAGATAAGGCATTTAGTGACCTGATGATGCTACAGAAGACAAATCCAGCCCTTTTTGGCGGGGCATCGGGTCAGGGCCAACCGCCTGCGGGCTCCAGGTAAACTTTATAATGAACGCGGGGCGACTACGCTGATGTATGCTACATATACATTTATAAATGTACATAATAAAAGACTGCTACAATCACTGGATACTATTTTGGGGTTTCAAAAAGACCTTTTATGGGTTTTAGAATTTAGGGTTTAAGGTTTTATCCAGACCAGGGGCCTATGGTGTACATGGTTTTGCAAACTAGAGAATCAGTTTCGAGAAGAACGTATAACATAGCGTTGGATTTATTGCACAGCTGTCGATGGGAGTTGTCTCATACGCCAGAGAAGCAAACACCCCAACAACTATACCATAACGAACGCTTGTCTTATTCTGAGCGATGTACCTTACGAACATTCTACGTGACCTATATTATGAACATTCTAAGTGACCTGTCTTACGAACATCCTACGTGATCTATCTTACGAACATTCTAAGTGATCAATCTTACGAACATTCTAAGCGATCTTTCTTACGAACATTCTAAGAGATCTATTTTAGGATCGTTTCAAACGATCTATCTTAGGATCGTTTCAAACGATCTATCTTACGAACTTTCTAAGCGATCTATCTTTCGATAATTTTAAGCGATCTATCTTACGAACATTCTAAGCGATCTTTCTAACGAACATTCTAAGAGATCTACATTAGGATCGCTTCAAACGATCTATCTTACGAACTCTAAGTGATCAATCTTATGAACATTCTAAGCGATCTTTCTCACGAACATTCTACGAGATCTATCTTAGGACCATATGAAGTGATCTATCTTACGAACATTCTAAGTGATCTACCTTACGAACATCTAAGTAATCTATCTTACGAACATTTTAAGAGATCTATCTTACGAACATTCTAAGAGATCTATGAAAGTATCATTTTAAACGATCTATCTTACGCCTTTCTGAGTGATCTATCTTTGGATCATCTTAAGCGATCTATCTTCCGCACTTTCTGAGTGATCTGTCTTAGGATCATCTTAAGCGATGTACATGTGTACACATGTCTCCTATGTCTTCTACCATATTCAAAAGGCCCTAAAATGCAGGACAGGTTGGACAGTTCTGGATTCAAAGGGGTTTGTGATCATTTCACGGTTACTGCGTCCAGAGTACATACTACTGGGACACAGGCGACTCAATAGCAGTACCAATGAGCTACGAGAACGCTTATGCGAACGGATTGCATGCCCATGTGAACTTTCAAGGGGCGGCTTGCATTCTCCGTTTGTCTTGTAAAAGCACAATGTATAATATACAGTATACAATATAAGATACACAAGGCTATGCAGGTGAACAAGGCTATGTTAGTGATGCAGTTGATGTAATACTTATAGACTATATAGATTATGCAGTTATCTAGCTGGCTGCGGCCAGATGATTCGATGTCTGCATATTTTAACTTTCCTTAACCATGGAGGGTCAGTGCGGTCCCCGAGGTCACGGTTGGGAAACGCCACAACCTTTGGAAATGAACGTGAATCGCTCGATTTTAAACGCGTTCACTCTTTAAAAAATATGTTTTTAAAAATATAAATTTATTTTGATTTAAATTTTTTCTGTCTCGAGTTTTTAATATTTCGTTCAGCCATGCCATCTGCGCACTACATCAGGATTAGTATATCGCATACAGCTCGCCACAATCTGTACGACCCAGTTGAGAACACGATTGTTAACTGTCGCAGGCGGCCAATCCAATCTAGGCACGTCTACAAAGTGCACTAACGCGGATGTGGCACGTAGTGTCATCCCTGTGTATGTGTGTGAATGGATGGATTTGTGAGCATCTTGAGCTGCCAGTGTGGATATTTAATTCATAATCGAATCTGAATCGATCGCAATAGCAAAAGCAATATCAATATATACCGATATATATCAATATATACCGATGTATATCAAAATCGATATCATTATATATATATATATCATACATATACTTTTCCACACACACACATACATACATACATATATATACATACATACATACATACATATACATACGTTGATATATAAATATGTACACCTATCGTACACAAACAAGCTATCGCAGCCACAATGATACTGGCGGATGTATATTGTACTTCGTTGATAAATGTACTGGAATGCTTGATATTTATATACAACACCACACATTGAGTAGACAGCACACAATGAGAGCCGGCTTACCCCACAGAACAAACTCCTCGCCTGGAGTGCCTGGATCCAGTTGCCGCTGGTGGCATACGACGACATTTTTCAGCTGTAATAGGTACACCAAGTACATCAAAATTCAACACTTACACTAGACATTGTTAGTTCTATTGATGTGGGTAGTTCGAAGAGATGGGAGGTTTCCAGGCCTTTGCCAAAGGACTATAATGTCTCAGTCACAGTACCAGTACAGGTGCAGATACAGTAACAGTACGGGTTGTGTATGTGATCAGTGAGTAGAGGGAGGCCTGGTATACGCAAGGATATAGTAGCATGTACATATGTATTATGTATTTGCATACAGTCACGTATGCATGTGGGTCGGTCAACAATTATACGTGCATGCCTACACACATGCTTGATCTGTTCAGCAGCAGCAGCAGACACACACACACACTCATATATATATACACACACACATACATATATATATAGATACAGGCACACACACACACACACACACGGGTATGCGCACGGGATCATTGCACACGAATCAACAGTGGCACTACATCGATATGCATATCCATGTAAATGGTACTATACCCATAAACATATCCATGAATGGAGCTCTCCCCCACACACCCCACCTCATGCAACGCAATGGACGGGAAGCAAAGCGTATCCAAGCCCAACCGGTGATTGATTGATTCTGGCAGCCAGTTCTGTAGTGCCAGTATGCGGTAGGGCAACACGACTTCGCTGAAGTGCACAGACGCGGGGTGTAGCATTCGCACCGGCGCCCACAGTACTGTTTGTAGCCAAGCATGGTGTATGTGAGTGAGGCGTGTCTATGGTATGCGGAGAGTGTACTGTTTGTGAACACTGGCCATGTGCTTCGTATGTTTAGTAAGGAAGTGGATCTGGTTGATGTGTGTGCTAGTCTTAGACTAGGCTGTGCTAAATAGATAAGAGAGAACATGCACAATCCCAATATATTCCTGGGAAGTGCATATATCTACTTGTGGGCTCATGGAGCTTCAGGTGTCTAGTACGCACACGGCTGTATATATAACGGCATATATAATTGTATATATTATTGTATGAAAAATTGTATAAACAATTGTCTATAAAATCATACATATAATTGTATAATTAACTATATACTTGTATATCTAATTCGGGTAATAGCACTATGTCAACGAAGTTCCAAATCCAAAGGTACCATGGTATGAGTTTTGATGCTTGTTAACTACATTCTTCTGTGCCGCCTATTAACGCCAAGTGGGGCGTCCTCTGACTATTTGACAGTACACTTACACCCTTACTTATAACCTATATTGAGAGATGACGTACCTACCCCATTTCCTGCGTCTATGATTAATAATCCTGCGTCTATGTTTAGTAGTGATCTGAGTTGGGGTCACCTACACCCTTACTTATAACCTATATTGAGAGACGACGTACCTATCCCGTTTCCTGCGTCTATGTTTAATCGTGATCTGAGTTGGGATCACCTACACCTTTACTTACAACCTGTATTGAGAGATGACGTACCTATCCATCTCCCGCGTCTATGTTCAATAATGATCTGAGTTGGGGTCACCTACACCCATACTTATAACCTGTATTGAGAGATGACGTACCTACCCCGTTTCCTGCGTCTATGTTTAATAGTGATCTGAGTTGGGGTTACCTACACCCTTACTTATAACCTGTATTGAGAGATGACGTACCTACCCCATCTCCCATCTGGGTTGGTCTTATCACCTGCAGCTCTAGCGGTTCGTCCACGCAGCTGCTTGCCGTGTGTTTAACGCTTTGTAAACAGCTCACTTTCACATAGACATCATACGTTTAACGCTTAGTAAACAGCTCACTTTCACATAGACATCATATGATAGTTCTGGTCCACACACCCATACCACAGTAACAGTACTAAGGGCATACCCGCAGACACCTCCTTCTGTTGCATGGTGAATCGGACGGGCTTGTTATCAACCTGCAGGAACACAAACGCGCACATCGCAAACCCCGTCACCGCTGCGCCGCCACCAAATACCTGTGTGAGTGAGCACGCTAGTAGAATGAGAGATTGTATGGGATAGTGCACGTTTAGGGTTTGGGGTTTCAGGGTGTAGGGTCTAGAGTTTAGGGGTTTTTTATCAACTTGTAAGAACACAACGAGTATAGCTATGTGATATCTAAAGCTCTCCAAGTTGATCGAGAGATAGTCAGGTGGTGTACACCCATCTATAGATGTGTGTATACTGCGTATTTGTATACAAATACAAATACATATATATATATATATATATATACATATACTTATATATATATATATATAAATGTATATATATATATATGTGTGTGTGTGTATG